TGGCAGAGCTATAATGACTTCCGTCACCTTAGAGCCTGACATCGCTGGGCCGAAAAAGGGAACGAGAACGGAAAAGAACGAGAACGAAAAAGAAAAAAAGAGACAAGGACTCCTCATGCGCGTTGCTTTCGTTTGTTTTGTGCAAAAGCGTTTGCCAGGATGTAAATGATCTGTACTTCAGGCTACTTTTGACTATCGACTTTTTTGTTGTAACAGTTCTTCTCCCGCAGATCTGAACCTTTTGTCCTTCTTTTCCTCGTCGTCCTCTTGTTGGTTTTCTTTATTGTTATCGTTTGTCTCTTTGTTTGTTTTGTGTTCGTCGTTTTCGTCTTCTTTCAAAGCCGCCTGTCCATGGAAAAGTTGATGAAGAGTAATACTCGACGTGGAGGGATGGTCACATCAGTTGAAAAGGAACGCACGAGGGAATCATTACTAGGACTTCCGGCCGGAGTTTCTTAGGTACGCTTACTTGCCGCCAGAGGGGGGTTACGCGACACCTGGGAGAGAGAGAGGGTAGCAGAGAGAAAGGGTGAGCGTCCTGACGTTGCACGCAGTTTTCCGTTCACATATTACCATCGAAATGAAATTACGGGCTCTATAACTATGCCCACCGTCAAACTCCCAGAAGTTTCTCGTTCTCACCCCCAAACCCGCCCGTCACACTAAAGTGACAGGTTAACGTGAGAGTCCCGGACGCTCTGCCTTAACATCGCAGCATACACCTATGCACAAGATGACACCGCAGGATTCAACATACATACTCACTCGTACCAGTATCCGTCCATGCACTAGAGTCCTCCACAGCTGTTAACAAGTGGCTCGGTCTGCGCATGCGGGTGGTCAGGTAGGTAGGTAGGTGTGTGTGTGTGTGTGTGTGTGTGTTTGTGTGTGTGTGTGTGAGAGAGAGAGAGAGAGAGAGGATGGATAGGGACGCTCGCGCCCACGCGGTCATCGCTCAATGGGAGCCTCGTTCCACACCACTACAGAATACTCGAGTTTTCGAGGGCGCCCTTGAAAAAAAAAGAAGTGATTAATTTAGCCTAACTCAAATTTTCGTTCGACAGGCCCTTGGACGAACCCTTGGAAAGGGTGCCCTTGAAACTCAGGTGCCTGGCAGGGCTGCTGACGTTTGCGGGGGCGCTTGCGTGTTGTGTCGCCCTTGGCAGTGGGTGTCCGCCTGCAGGCGGGCCCGTGGGACCGGGCAGGGCCGGTAGGGACCGGTGCTCGCCATGGGGTAGGTCACGTGTATAAGAGACCGACTGGGGGATTTGGGGATCATGCATTTCGATTTTCGAATTTCGAAATCGACGTTTTGGCTCGCGCAGGCACGGCAGCGTATGAGGGAAACTTGGAGCGCACACTTCCTGGCAGCCCTCTTCTACACCATCGCCGCCATATCAATGACGTCGTTGTGGTATCACACAGCGTGCACCTGAGAAGGATGGAGGGGACGCCCGCACTCATGGAAGGGGATGATGGTCGTGAAGTAGTCGCCAACAGGAGGAAGTCGTCACCCACAGGAGGTTGCCTCCACAGGAGAAAACGCTCCTGGCGACTGCGTTGCTGGCTGTTGCCCGTCGCCTGCAGACGGTGAACGGGCTGCGGAGAGCCTTCGCAAGGGACAGGGCAAGAAGGGACTCCGTAGGCAGTTGATGGACGTGCACGCCATGCCTGCGTGAATTGTGGGATGGACCGTTCTTGTTGTAGAACACCGTCGTCGCAGGCAAGCGCCACGGTGGTGGTGGGTGACCGCCGGCACGTGCCAGGACCTCTGCATCACGGGTGACGCCACCTAAGACTACTTCCTTGAGAAGGTGAGGATGTCGAAGACAGCATTCAGCAACATTGTGGCCGCCTGCTCTCTTTCTTCGCCGCAAGCTCACACATTACCCCGAGCTCGCCCAAGGGTCGCGCAGGTGGTCATCGGCCTTGATTTGCGCGTGTTTGACATGTTCGTGGGTTATCGGGGGAGTGTTTACAACCAGCGTGAGCTGCGCAATTCATTCGTCCCTGTTCAAGCACGGAGTCCGGCCAGTTGTTCAAGGCCGATCCTGTCTTGCTTCCTGGCTGTGTGAGGACGAAGGGATACATCCCGGGTGATATTGCTTCGTCGGTCGTGGTTCCCTATGGTTGCACTTGTCCAATGGGGAGCCTGTCTTGCTCCGTGGCAGTGTGAGTACGACCGGATGCATCCTCGGCTATATGCTGCGATTCGTGGCTTGTGGTTCCCTATGGCGGTTGTGATCAGGATGGTGACGGCGCCCTCTTTGATGTGCGGCAGAAGTGAACACGTGGAGTGCTGGAGAGGGAGTTCTGGACGTTAAAAGGCACGTGGAGGTTGTTCCTTCGTCATCACAAGACAAATATCAAGGGCACGTGG